AGATTAAGTGCAGATCTCAGTGAATTTTTTGGACTGGTTTAGAAATTACCTTGAGGACCTTATTCCAATATTAGAGTGACTATAGACCAACAAATTTGATCCATGTTTAGATCAAAAAGATAAGTAAAAGTCAAAGATCCACCTGGATCTACCAGACATCTTTAGCTAATGTACTGGAGGCATAACAATTTCCCGTGTAATGCATGCAATAATTTCTGTGCCTGGTATCCGGCTGTTTCAGTACATCTGTTCCAAAAGCCCACTACAGCACTCGGTGCTGATCTAGGCTGCTCGAGTGTAACCTCAGTTTCATTCAAAGAAGGCTAATGCTTTCCAGACACATGGCAGCTAACATGCTCCAACACCTAATGGGCATTTGATCCATACACTAGACTAGTGTTTTTCTCAAACAATATACATATGTGCCCCTTGCATATGTATAGCATGAATGGTCATCAACACAAACTCCTTTATCCTGTAGACTTAGTTCTACTGCATTACCTACTCAGTAATGGAACCATAAACCCATAAATCGTGTGGGTGATTCTTTGCTCTAGTAGATGACTTAAATATTGGCGAGGGCATCTGAGGCTCCCCAGATCACAGTAGTGTGGTTTAGGTAATGTCTGTTGGCACAGCATAGCAATTTTCTGTTGTTTTGAAATCCTGTGGAACTCAGGCTGGTGCAGTGTATTATGTGTTAGATATTTACACACATCTACCACAATTTCCAGAAAAACATGAACTCTTCCAAAGTTGCTTCTAGGGCTACCTTTGAATTCTGATTAACTTACCTATTAAATGCTGCTTCTTGTTATTTTTAACAGCTCGATCAAGCAAGCCTCTCTCTTGCATCTCGAGAAGATTACCTAGAAAACACCACAGAAGCTAAATCTGTAGGTATTACTTATAGATTGAAGTGACCATTTTTCCCTTCAGTTTTTTTCATTGTTGCTTTTGTTTTGTTGAGCTCCAAATTGAGAAAGGATTGTGACTTGTTTGGATTTAGATTTTTCAGGATATTTTCTATAAGAAAACAGTACCACCACAAGCACCAATACCACACAGAACACGAGGGGCAAGGTGATCAGGAGTAGTGAGCATGGATTTATGAAGGAGAAATTGCACTTAGCCAAACGTCTACAATTATGTGAATAGCTTGGTGGATGAGAGGAGAACAGTTGTTGTTCACCATGTAATTAAGGCTTTCAATATGGTCTTCTGAAACATCTTCAGAGACAAGCTGTGCTGCCATTCAGCGAGTCCTGGACACACTGGAGAGTTGGGTGGAAAGGAACCTGATGAAGTTCAGCAAGAGCAAGTGCAGAGTCCTTCACCTTGGGAGGAATAATCACATGCACCAGTACAGGTTAGGGGCTGACCTGCTGGAGAGGAGCTCTGTGGAAAAGGACCTGGGTGTCCTGGTGGACAGCAGGATGACCATGAGCCAGCACTGTGCCCTTGTGGCCAAGAAGGCCAATGGCATCCTGGGGTGCACTAAGAAGAGTGGGGCCAGCAGGTTGAGGGAGGTTCTCCCCCCCCCTCTACTCTGCCCTGGTGAGGCCACAGCTGGAGTACTGCATCCAGTTCTGGGCTCCTCAGTTCAAGAGGGACAGGGATGTCCTGGAGAGAGTCCATTGGAGGGCCACAAAGATGATTAGGGCCTGGAGCATCTGGAGAGGAGCATTACAAGGAGAGGCTGAGAGAGCTGGGGCTCTTAAGCCTGGAGAAGAGAAGATTGAGAGGGGACTTTATCAATGTCTGTAACTATCTGAAATGTGGGGGCCAAATGGATGGGGCCGGGCTCTTTTTGGTGGTGGCTGGTGACAGGACAAGGGGCAATGGGCAAAAACTGGAACAACAAAAGTTCCATACAACCTTAAGGAAAAATTTCTTTACTGTGAGGGTGACAGAGCACGGGGACAGGCTGCCCAGGGAGGTTGTGGAGTCTCCTTCTCTGGAGACATTCAAGACCTGCCTGGATGCCTTCCTGTGTAATTTCGTTTAGGTTCCTGCTCTGGCAGGGGGATTGGACTAGATGATCTTTTGAGGTCCCTTCCAACCCCTGCCATTCTGTGATACTTCCCAAGTTACGCCTCACAATAGCATTGGTGCCTACCAGGAAGAGCAGCAGCCAGAGGACTGAACAGGCCTCAGCAGCCTTTCCACAACATTCTGAATGCGAGACCCCAGTAAGCAGCAAAGCTCCCTAGATGATAAATTAGGTTGGCAGGTGGGGACCTCCATCCCCTGCAGTAATGAGTCTCTTACCACTGTAGCTTGCTTCTTCATTCTAGTGGTCCTGAGTGGCTCAGGTTCAGCCACAGAAGGTGCTCCAGTTGATAGGGCTCCTGGCTCCTCGTCATCTACAAAAACAGTGGACTTCCAGCCTTCACTGTGATGGGAGTTTCCACCTTCCAGCTTCATAGGGACAGGCTCCTCCTGCTCTTCTGCTGCAGTTGAAGGTCCAGGCTCTTGAAGCTGCAGGGTGTCTCAGGGAAGATCTGGTTGATCTTTCTCATCCCTCTGAGACTGTTTGGTCTGCTCACCTCTCCCAGCCTTTCATTTGGCAACACAGGTCCTAGGATGCAGGAGGTGTGCAGTTGAGAAGACCATGGTGTCCCAACCTCAACGAGAGGCCCCAGACACTCCTTGCAACCTGACGCTTGCAGAGCTGCATCCTTCCTTATGAAGCACTATGTGGGTCCAGGGGTCCAATCACAAAAGGATAGCTACACCAGCGGTACCTGGGGATCATATCCTGGTGTGTGACCACTGTACCTAAGGATGCATGTGTCAGACAAAGTTTGCTGGCCTTTTCTCTGTGGACTGCTACATCTATTGACAACCTCTGGGAGCTGTTCTCTGGGCCTCGCTTTAATGTAGACTTCTCTCTGGCATGGGCTCAAAGGGTGTTCTACCCTCTCTAATCTCTCTTCACTGAGAAGGTGGTTGGTTGGTCACTGGAACAGACTCCCCAGGGAAGTGATCATGGCACCAAGCCTGTCAGTTCAAGAAGCATCTGGATGACTCTCTTAGTCATGAAGTTTAGTTTTAGCTAGTCCTGCGAAAAGCTGGGAGTTGGACTTGATCATCCTTATGGGTCCCTTCCAACTTGAGATATTCTATGATTTTGTAACCTGGAGTCAGCTAGAAGAGAGGCTGTGGGCACCCTTTGTTCACGCACAGTGGTCAGTTGGTTAGCAGCTGCTGCAGCTACCTTCGCCTGACCTGGTGGCAGCAGGACCCTTCGTGTCTCTCAGGGGACGTCCCAGGAGTTCCCAGATTGTGGACAAAGTGCCAAGATGCTCAAGAATATCTCAACAAAGCGGAGCCCAGAAGCTGCCATGTCCATGGGCTGCCTCAGTGAGCTACTCTCCAGGCTGCCTCTTGGGCTCAATTAGGCCAGAAGGATGAGCCACCACAGGTTATCACCATCAAATTAACCTAAATTCCTTTAATGAAAGGAACAAGAGTTCCTCAACAGATTTCAAATATTCATTTCGTCTTTACCCCCTCCTTTATCTATGATTTCTCTGCTACAGCTTAGTTTCTTGCTACTTTTCTATGGACAGCAGTTGTGAATCAATGAAGTTTATCAACATTTTAATGTATCAACATTTGACCATGGCAATACCTTTCTCCCCCCTTACTTGATGAAGGCCTGTGGGCTGTATCCAGCACACGCAACCCAAAGCTCAAAGAAAACAACCCCTTGGGTTGTCAGTGGGGACAAGTCATTGCTAATGATTAATGCTTTACAGTTTTGCTTCCCTTTTGAGCTCCTGGAGAGGTTAGTAGGCTTTTTAGCTGCATCTATCAGACTAGGTGATGCCAGGATACAAAGAATTGTATCTAAAGGTACAAATACATTGGGATATCACAGAATATTAGGGATTGGAAGGGACCTCAAAAGATCATCTAGTCCAATCCCCCTACCAGAGAAGGAACCTAAACGAAATTACACAGGAAGGCATCCAGGCAGGTCTTGAATGTCTCCAGAGAAGGAGACTCCACACCCTCCCTGGGCAGCCTGTCCCAGGGCTCTGGCACCCTCACCGTAAAGAAGTTTTTTCTCAAGTTTAGGTGGAACCTCCTGTGTTCCAGCTTACACCCATTGCTCCTTGTCCTACCATTGGGCATCACTGAGAAGAGCCTGGCTCCATCCTCAAGACATTCGCCCTTAACATAGTTGTAAACATTAATTAGGTCTCCCCTCAGTCTCCTCTTCTCCAAGCTAAAGAGACCCAGCTCTCTCAGCCTTTCCTTATAAGGGAGATGCTCCACTCCCTTAATCATCTTGGTGGCTCTGTGCTGGACTCTCTCAAGCAGTTCCCTGTCGTTCTTGAACTGTGGGGCCCAGAACTGGACACAATATTCCAGATGCGGCCTCACCAGGGCAGAGTAGAGGGGGAGGATATGTTTTTGCTTTGGTTGGACTGTGAGCTAGTAAAAGTGGATTTGGAGCAATATGATCCCTCCAAAATCTCTGAAAGATTATGCTGAGGGGGAGGTAGCAGAGAAATCACTACAGTATCATGACATACAGTGTATTTTGCTAACATTTGTGTATGCGTGCTGAGACTAAAATGTGTTTTATTAGGATAGCCTGGGGAGAGTAGAGCACAGCACTGTAGCAGGTACATGTGTTGCAGTGCCGTGGCAGGAATAGAGGAGAGAGCTCAGTGGAGTGTCCCTTTATCTCCCTCTCTTCTCAGCCACTATGCTTGCACTTGTATGTAAGTAATTCTTCAGTCCTGTACTGATTACTGTATGAGTTTGTGTAAGATATTGGTGTACACTCATACACGTTGTCTAATCCCACTGTAAGAGCTCTAAGTGTTATCAGTCTAATCCCAAAGTGTCATTTGCATTTCCTGAGATTTATGCTCTGTGAACCACAGCAAGTATCTGTCATGCCCAGTATGTTACCGCTGTTTCTTCCTTTCTTCTTGATGACAGCACGCTTTCAAGGTAAGGAAAGTACAACTTTGGTTGCTAGGGCATAAAAGTACAAAGCACTATACTCCTTGCTATAGCTGGGCATTTCTGGGCTACTGCTACACCTGTGCTCAAGTGCAAATCCAGCTGTCATTTCCCATTTTTTTTTTTCTTTACAGTACCGAGATGCCTTTTTGCAGTTCATGGTTGATACAGCAGTGCTTCTGGGTGCAAATGCTTCACGAGCCGAATCTGACATGAAGTCAGTTCTAAAACTGGAAGTTAAAATAGCTGAGGTTGGTAATTTAATGTGTGATTGAAGCTAACTTAAAAAAAAAAAAAAAAAGTGCTATCCTGTTTAAAAAAAAAAAGTGCATTCCTTTTTCGAAATGGAAAGTCATTATATCAACAGCCTTAGCAATAGTGGTTTTTGAAAGTAGAAGGAAAGGGGCACAACTTGATGAAAAAAGGATGAACAATCTTGCTCCCTTAGTTAATTCTTAAACTGATTATTTTACTTGTGGAGGGGAGTGAGGGGGGGAGTGAAAAACTTAACCAAATACCCTTGGTCCTTTAAATTGTTAATATTTCTTAATTTTTAACTTGGGCAGAATTTGAGTCTCTGCTGTGCAGTTATGTTGTGAATACATTACTATCTATTCAAGAAGCAGACCAGGCTGTTTCTCTGAGGAACAGTCTCAAAACAGCACAAAACTGAGATGGGATATTGAGCTTCGTAGTGAGAGGGCGATGGTTACAGTAGCATCACCGTTAACTCCTGAGCTGCTTTCACCAGCTACCCTGGGAGAAGGGACGATAAACTCCCTGAGTTTTCGTTTAGGGGTCCGACTGTACTTAGTAGAGCTAAACAGATTTAAATCTAGTGCTCAGTTCTGACTGATTTACTTGGTGACATTTTTGCCCCTTTTTGGAGTTTAATTTACAAATTAGGACACAGGTTCAGGTGGTGGAGCACTTTGTCTGGGGGCTCCTGGGAGAGCTACTTGCCCATATCTTCCACTGCAGCATAGAGGATGGATTTGATTTTTTCTGAGCACATTAGCTCTTCTCGCAGGCTGTTGCAGGCTGAAGGAGCATTTCTCCTTTCCCATATCTCTGTTTCAGTATGGTTACTGCAGGAATCGTGCTCCTGGGAGCATTAAGTCCACTATTGTTTCCACTTCTTCCAAAGCGAGAGATAAGAGTTAGCCTCAACATTGTGAAACCAGCAAAAGTTAAGGCTACAACCTTGACACTGATTTGCGGAACTGCCAGCTGAGCTGAGGATTTCTTCATATCGCCAAGGAAAGAAGCTATCTTTCCCACTGTCCTCTGTGAAATGCTGGGTGTACTGTTAACAGAGAAGCCTGTTGCACAGGACATGCTATGCAGCAGAAAATGACTCTTCACTGGGTTCTGCTGTTGCCATCTACAGGAGGAAAGGCAGTGATGCTTCTCAGTGGTGCTTGTGTGCAGAATTGAGGGCCATCCACAATAGGAGTAAATCAGTGTTTCCATCTCTCTGCTAGGAAGACATGAAATTTTGTCAAACCTCAAAATAAAGCCCAATATTTAGCTTCAGTTACCTAGACTGGATGGACTAATGAGCAGATACTTTGTTTTGACCCAGTAGACTTTAAAAACAGGACATATTTTTTCTGTTTATTGGTGCTGTAATAAGAAGATGCATTGCTACCTCTGGTAGCTTTAATGCTTTACTTAATGAATGTCTTACAGAGAGCTTTAATCCACAAAGTATATAGGTGAAGTTGTCATATAAGATGACCCGGATCACGTAACAGCCTTCAGGATCAGTAATGCATACCATTACGTAACAAGCCATACTTGCTCATGGTTACCCAATTTCTTTTTAGTATGGATAATCCTTATAAAATGTATCCAGATACTAGGCATGAGTCCGGGGAAATGGATTGTTGCATGATTGCTAATGAGCAAAATTAATTATATAAACATCTCACCATGATTTCAAAGGAGATAGTCCTGTTTGTTACCTGGGCTTTTACTGTATCCTGTGTTCCTCTGTGTTCCTCTGTGTTCATTTTAGGTGAACGTACACAAAGAAGAACTTGTGTGCTCAGGAAAAGAGACAACAAGAATAAAGGGAAGATACTTTAGATATAGGAAAGGAGTGTTATGCTTCAAGAGAGCTTTTTGTGTACAAGGAAGATTTCAAGTATGTTTGAATTAATGGAGCAAGAGGGAAAGTTTTGAGAGGAAGGGAGCAAATGGGTTCAAGAAGAGGTTAAAGATTTGTCAGATAAATGAAATTGGCAGAGAGGGAGAATTTTTTTTTTTTTTTTCTGTGTGGCTTAAGCAATAGTAAAACCGCAGACACTTACTGGAGAATTTTGGTTGGAGAACTGCCACCTGTCTGGTTAGTCTGGCGTCAATCTCTGCCCTCTTTAAACTGCACAGCTTAGAGTGGGACTGGAATTGCCATTGGAAATTATTGTTTCTCTTGAACACAGAAAGTTTTGAGCTATATCTTGTACTTGGTTTGTTTTTCTATCATGAAGCATACTGATATCTTGGAATCTGAATTTTACTTGACAGTTATAAAAGGACTTGCTTTATATTTAGGATTTCTTTCACTATGCTATTGGACTTTGACACTACAGAGGATGCAGAGGTTCTCCTCTAGTCACCCAGATGAGATGTCTGGTTGGAGAATGCTTTAATTAATGTCTGGCCTGTGTACCCAGGTTTCCTGCTATGGAAATCAGGATGCTGGGGTAAAATGAGGAGAAACTTGTGTGTATCTGGTTCTTTCCTTAGCTAGAGTCAGGCCATAGCAAGAACATGTTCAAATCCAAGAGATGACATGTGCTTCCAGCATACCTATCTCAGATTTGACCTTTTAAACTATATAATTTGGAGCTGGCTTCTACCTCACATAATGGGATGAATAAGTATTTATGGTATAGGTGTGCTTTGTCTCTTATGAATCAACATGCATTTCCTTAGTATAATCAGAACTAAAATTGGTCTAATATGTTCAAAGAAGACACACAGCTCATTAAATTCCCCAGTAATGAGTTAAACTGACAATTAACTGTGTTCCATTTCTCCTAGTTAAATGCCACCCTCAGAAAGGGAAGTTAGTGCCATAAATGCTTAGAAAAGAGGTGGTGAGATATTTCTGCACTGGGATTATGATGGACAGTAATGATGTAAGAGCAGGTCCCTGCAAGATCATCCTTGTTTTGATGTTTGTTGGTATTTTTTTTCCCCCTTCAGATCATGATTCCATATGAAAATCGAACAAGTGAGGTGATGTACAATAAAATGAACATATCGGAGCTTAGTGCCATGATTCCACAGGTTGGTTGGGGATAATTGCAAAATTATTCTTTTAAAGTCTGACCTATGCAATTAAAATTGCCTTTAGTGTGCACAGCAGCGTGTTAAAGGACTATCATTAGGAATGTGTATACTCAATTACAATATATGTCCTTTTAAATACAGTTATAACTTTACTGAGTCTTGAAAACACGTGTAATGACAAAGTACGGTAGTTTCTTAATTTTTAATAAGTAAAGCTTTGAAACCATTAGTCCCAAAGGTGCAACTTTGTTAATAAATAATGTCTCTTCATAATTCTTCATAATCTGCTTTAACCAGCCTTCTTTTTATCATTGCAGTTTGACTGGCTGGGATATATCAAGAAGGTGATTGACACCAGACTCTATCCTGAGCTCAAAGATATAGGTCCTTCAGAAAATGTGATTGTCCGTGTTCCTCAGTACTTCAAAGATTTATTCAGGATACTAGAAAATGAAAGGAAAAAGTAAGGATCCCTTGATGGTTTCACCCATGCTTATGAGGGGAGATCAAATGCTGGGCTTTTCCTGGGTTTTTCAGGTGCTTCAGATATTCTTGGAATCAAGGTTCTAGGCAAAAGGTCTGCTTGGTTTTGCTGAATGAGGATTTAGATATTAGCTTCTGTGTAGCAGGAGAATTTGCAGTTTCAACACCTTTCTCTTTTTACTGAAAACATAGGTTGCAGTAAAGATGCTTTTTGCAGATGCATTAAGCATTTCTTACTTGTATAGGATCTTGTATCTTGTGAAATCATTTATACCTGTAGAACATAGCTGTAAAATGCAGGTAACTCAGATTAAACACAGATGATGTGCTTTGCATAGGGAAGCAAGACAGCTTTGGGCAATGTGATGAAAAAATGTATATGAAGATGACATCCCATTTTGAAACATAGTTATTGGTGACATCTAAGTGATTTCTGTGATAATTTGCTCTCTGCTGAGATGTGTTGCTGAACTTTGAAAAAACATTGTTAAGCTATTGTCTCTAAAAAATCATACTTTGCTGATTGCACAGTATGACCACAACTAAATTTACATTTCACAAAAAAAAATTTCTTAAGCAGTATTCTTATACTGTTGCTCTATGTCTCCAGTAACAGAATGTTTGCATTAATTCATAGTACCTGTAACAATAACACATAGATCAAACAAAAATAAAAATTATTGATCTGCCTAGAGCTCATCAAACATCTTCACTTTATAAAATGCAGACAAATAGCATTAGTGTGCCACGAATTTTACTCTGCTGAAGAAAGCCTTCTAAATGGTTTGGACTGCTTTATAACTCATAAAGTTAGTTATATCAGTGGGGAATAAAGCAGTGATTTAGAGGATGAACATGTAACAAGACAACAGAAGATTAGTTATTCCCCATATACCAATACACTTACATGCAAGTATATTCTGTAACTACAGAGTAAATACTTGGAGCCTTTTTCCATTAGGGTCTTACTCGGGGAAAATCTGGCTCTGAGTGTTCAAGAGAAATTAAGCCAGCCTGTGTGTCATGGCAGAGGGAGGCTGGAGAAGAAAGAATGGCAATAGCCATCTTCAGCAAAGCTTGAGAGCAGCTTTCTGATCCCCACAGGTTGGGTGGGCAAAAGCAGTGTCTTTCATATATAGAATGTTTTTCCAGTATTTTCAAGGTGCATATCTTATGGCTGATAATGGTTTAGGCATTTTCTGCTCAGTCTTACCCAAAGAAATTTGCATCATAAATGTTAGAGACGGCAAATAGAGTGCTAAACTCAACCCAAGGAGACTTCAAGTTCTTATACATAAAATCCATCCAAACAGTCACTGTGTGATAACAAAGATCATGTTTATCTATTAGATGATAATGTTCATTACTTAAAATGTCATAGTTTGCTCCAGAAAAACCTTGTTATCTGTCCTGAGAAAATTAGGAAATAATCTTAATGTGAGCTTCTAACAATGAGGTCTTAACATTTTCCTGTAGGGTGAACTGTAAAAGCTTAACAAGGATATTTTCTTTTAGGTAGTCTAATTTGTCATTCTCCATATGATATCTTAAAGTTGAATTAAGGGGGGAAATGGAACTGTGCTAGCACCAGTTAGAAGCCCCTTATATCCCTTCCCTGTTACCTGTGTGCTAGTGCTTTATGTGTGAGCCATAAATAGGATACAGTAAATTGTGTCCTTTTTGGAGATGTTTGCAGCTGTTGAAGGAAGCAGCTTTATCGTTCTCATGGACGTCAGAATGAATAACTGGTTTCCTTTGCCTTGCCTTACCCCATCTTTTCAATATGGAACAATTAATAGAGAAGTACTCTGTAATTCCTGCAGCATAAGAGGAATTTTCTTTAGAGAGGGATGGGGGTACTAGATCTCCTTTCTGGTCTTAGCCTGCCTCTGAACAATTAGAGAGAGAAGTTCCAATCGTTTGACTTGAACTAGTGCCTCTAGCAATAGAGGCAGAAGTTTTTCAGTACTTATAATTTGATTCGTGACTGAATTCTGAGTACAATTTTCAAATGGATCTGAAAATCTGTGAAAGAGATCTTTTTCTTAAAATGTCAATTAATTTGTCCATCTATCTCATATTAAATCTATCCTCTTTAATTACCACCATATCTGTTGATTAAAATATTACAAACTCACAGAATTTCACATGAGCAGCCTACTTTATTCCCAGACAGAGTAGTGAGTTTGTTAGTAGATATTCATAAGCACTGGTATAATTTTAACTGTCCCAGCAAACAAGCTCCTACCATTTCCTTTGGGAGTATGTATAACAAGGATGATTATGTTGGTTAAAAGCAAGCCTACACTTCTTTCTGCAGTCATTTTGAAGTTAAAATAGGGATCAATGCACTGTACTTTTCTGAAAGGTTACAACAACAAATGTTCTGGTCTCATCAAAACAGCAGAGATGATTTGTATGTTTTATTTGTGTGTTGGATTTTTCTCCGTGTGAAGAGGTTTACTTCTCTGAGCCTCAGTGAACTTATTTGTAAAATTGGGATAAAAATCACCCCAAGATACGCACTGGAGGCATTTCATAGTGAAAAAATATCAGTTTTTAAATCGAATGAAGATGACCAATTGATTTTAAGTTTGTATAGTTAGCCAAAAAGGTAAGATGATCATGTCCAAAACAGGTAAACAAATTAAGATAAAATATGATTTTATTTTGCAATATTGAACACCAGCCCTCAAAGAAGCAACAACAAAACCCCTTAATGTTTCCCCACTGTCTGCCTGGCCCCAGCAAATAAACACACTACTGGGCTTTGAAGCAAAACCTTCCTGTTTTTATATGCATCGTATGCATCAGTGGATTCTAGTGTGATTACAATCAGGAATTATTACAATCTCATCAGACAGCTTGGTTTTAGGACGTATCAGCCTTCCAGCCTTCTTTTCCTTCCCAAATTAAAACAAATCTCAAATAATTGTGGGATATTTCCTGAAACTGACAGCTGCCTTCATTACTTATGCTCAACACAACAGTTCTTGAATTCCCGCTTATATTAGTGTCATTGAATAAGTCACCTTTTTGAGACTCATCCTTTACAAATTTCAGTCTTTCATTCACTACCAGTTTGACAGAGGTTCCCCAACTCAAACATAAGGACAAACACCACTGAATGAGAACAAGAAGCACACAAAAGGAAGAATTGATTTTTTTTCTAGCAATTAAGTATGAATACACATAATTGGTTTATGATAGTGGTCTATTTAGCTGAGGTTTTTTTACCTAATACTTTTGATGAAAATTGAATCTTTAAACCTTTTAATCTGCAAGACTCGCGTAAATACTGTTTTAGATCCAGAGTAGTTACTGAGGGAGCACGGGTGCTATTCAACTCTGCTGAAATACCTGAGGCAGATAGTTGTGAGGTTCATGGATTTCAAGTCATTTACAAAACTAATGAGAACTGAGCAGTTTTAGGGTGCTTTGGTTGCCATTGAGTGAGGGAATTCCACACCATCAGAAATGTGTTAAGGGCAAAATCTATACTTTCTCATATTTCATAGGTTGGAATTAATTTTTAATGACTCTTAGCATTATTTCAAAATGGTTTGATCGTCTAATACAGCTAACAGTTTTGGCTTTTCTAACATGTACTGTGTTATAAATGTATATTATTCATGCCAAAAAGCTTTTTCAGGTACGTTTTATGATAATTGTGGGGATTTATGTGTACTATATGATATATCTGTATTCTAAAAGAGGGAATATGCCCAATGTGAGAGATGAGGAGAAGTAAAAAAGGCAGGACTTCTAAATCACAGCAGTTCTCTACTCCCATGTAGGAGCTGCCACTGGCCAGAAAGGCTAGTGAGTATCAGGCCTTCGAGGTGATACTTGGCTTGAGATTGCACCCTCAGGTTTTCCTGTGTGAAATGAGTTGACCATATTGCTCACCCATAAGCATATGCAGAATAAATGATAAGTAAACCAGGGTTTTCCCAGGCTGCCATGGATGTGCAATTGCTGTGCAGGTTCATGTGAGTGTGCACACTTGTGCTATCTTCAGTTCAACTGGAGCAGCCTTCAGGGAAGCCAAATCCAATGGCACTGCAGAGCAACTGCCTTTCCTGGCCACTGACTCCTGGGCCTGACCAGGCTGGTCCCCAGTGCACATCTCAGCAGAGAGTGCCATCCCACAGAGTGTACACAGCCACCCATCAGCTCTTGGTGGTGTCCCACTTGGATGCTACTGGAGTTACTGGGTTATCATGTACTCAGTCACTAATAGACGATATGTAGCTGTAGCTATATCTTGCCTTAAACCTCTCCATTTTCATCTCTTTATCGTCTCTTCAATTGAGTGGCCAAGAGTGTAACCTTCCAGTAACAATGTGACTTTAGCTGGAGGCTTTTTGTGGGTAGGTTGGAGCTTGGTTAGAGGCAAGACTCAGAGTTATGGCTCAGGCGAATGCTGCTGTGAAGGCAACATGCCCATAAAGTGTGTTTATAACCTGTTATAATTTGGAGAAGGGGGCAGTATGGGATGTGTCCATGATTGAAGCTAATGGAGTGACACTGTAGCAACAGCTATGCTGCTCCACACCTATGGCAATGGGAGACTTGAGCTCAATCTAAATAAGATAAATCCTCAAATCAAGTGCTTGAAGTTTTAGAAAAGGGGCATGGATGTCAGGTCTCCTGGGGATTTTAAACAAGTTTTTCCTGGATCTCTCAGCCTCAGTTCTTATGAGATTCTTGTTACTGAGACTTATCTTTTTTGGTATTTCAATTATCCATCTGCCAAATAAGAGTGGTAATACTTTAATAACTCTGTGGGTAGTGAGAACTTTTAAAAGCATATTGATAACTTCTAATGAAAGATACAAATATGAGATAATGCTAGTACATATGGGATGGACTTATCTATTCTGTTTCATAGTTACAATTTATGTGCCCTATTAATGAGGAGAGATAACACTCACTTTGATTTAAAAAAGAAAAATCCATTATTTTCTTATCTCTGGATAGAACTTTTATGCAACTGTTGTTATGGCAAAGTTCTTGCCACTTCTATGGAAAAATAAAAACTGCCTTTTGAAAATAGCATTACCTAAAAATGACATATTAGGAGATGGACTTATTATAAATATCCTCTAGAAGACTGTTATCCTGGTGCAATTACGTATTAACTGGTTGCAATCATACAGATTCTTCTGTGTAATAGGGATTTACCAATTTAGTCATCACTCATTAATTTTCAAGATGAAATTTCCACTGTTCAATCAAAATGTTTGTAGAGATATTTCTGTGAGTCCTTTGTGGTACATCATATGCATTTAGATGTCTGATAAAAATATGTCTGATTTAACAGGACTCTTGCCAACTATCTGGTGTGGAGGATGGTTTATGCAAGGTTATTTAACCTCAGTAGACGTTTTCAATATCGGTGGCTGGAATTTTCTCGGGTAAGTTAGAGTTTTTATAGCATTTACAGTGGTATTAGTGTTGACCCTGTTGGTTTCTCTTACGGTTTTTTATACCTTTGCAAAACATGAAATGTTTTCCATGCTGGATAAATTTCTTGAATTCACTTTTTTTGTTGAAGACTCCCTCTCATACAATTAAGACATACATATTCTTGTATATGACACTAAGGAAAAAACTCTTTTAGATTATGTTAAGGAGTTTTTGAGATCTCCCCTTTAAAAACTTTAGTCTTCTTATGCAGAAACTTGAAAGCTGGAAAGTGCCAGGGCTGTGACCTGTGCTATTCCTGCAGGCCAGACCTGTTTGACCAAAATCTAGGCTTTTGAAAAAAACCTATTGATTACACCTGCATAAATATAGCTCTGGTAAAACAAAAGTCCAAGATTTCAGCTTTTATAAGATTGCTCAAACCTCTCTCATGCTCTAGTGTCAGCTTTACATGAGGTCTAGCACATCCATACAGCAGACATTTCCACACAGAAGCCGATCAGGTGCCTTCTAGCTTGGGGATGGCAGAAGCCCCAGAATACGTTCCTCACTGCCCCAAGCTATGAGAGCAAAGCTAATTATCTGTTAAGTAGTATAGGCATTTATGTAAAATACATGTATTTCATTAAGTGAACCCTGAATAGAAAGCCACCTTGATAATCCTGTAGGCAGTGAGAGGTCTCTTTCAGCAAACCAAGAATGAAACCTAAAACTCAAAAGTGCTTTGTCTTGTTGTTTCCAAGCCACTTTAGTTTAGATGTGAACTTTTTGTTTGTCCTTATGAAAATTAGCTGCTTGGCTACATGACAACAGGAGGCTGGCATGATGCTGCCAGTGGTGTGGTACAGGAGGTGTGGGTGTTCTCTCCTCCCCAGTGAGGCATGCAGGTGGCTAGTTGAAGCATCTGTAATGTCTTGCCTTGAGCAGTACTGGAATAGTTCTGAGTTTATCACACACCTAAAAATAAACTCCAATAGCTTAATGGAAACTGCACAGGAAACGCAGTCTCTTAGATTTCTGAAATCATATTCCAATCAATCTTGTTAAAAATGCCATTTTCTTCATGCAAAAATGTGAGAAACTGGCTGTCAGAACCACAGTGACAAGTTTGTCTTTCCCCTCCTGGGACATTCCTTGCTAGACAGGTAAAATAGATTGATGCTGGCCATCAGCCAGTCTGCAGCATACTACTGAGTTATATTGAGTTATATTATGGCCAGAAAATTTCCTGGAAGGAAATTTTAAGCTTTGGACACTGTGCGTTTTGATATGGTAACTAGTTGCTGTCACTTCTCTGGGTAATCTTTCTGGAAGCTTAGGGAGAAATCTAATTCAAATTGACTCAATGCTTATTAACAATGTCATCAAGGGTTTCATGTAAGTGGTTGTGAAAACTTACACACAGCCCATTAAGGGCAGTGAGTCAGCAGCTCATTCTCATTATCTTCCCCTGGGACCCGGAGATGGAAGATTAGTTAAGTGCAGTAAACACCAATAGCTAATAGTTAATAGCTAAAGTTAAGTGCAGTAAATAACTCGGGGGAAGAGAACTCACAGGTCAGCAGAAAGGACATGAGAAATGGATTCCAAGGCAAAGGCTTTGTTGAACAGATTTGTCCAGTCAGAAGCTGGAGGACTAAAGGCACACAAGTCCTTTGGGATCATTAAAAGGAACCACAAGACTGTTACTATGTAAGTGAAGAAAACACTGAATGACTACTAAAAAGACATGACCATGAGATGGATCAGTGACACTTAAAGCAAAGGTTATCTTTTATTCAGTCAATCAGCCTCACCCACCTTAAGCACTGTATTTTTGTCACCAGGTACTCATTTTCTGTTGGTGGCTTTTACATCTTACATGTAGAAATCTTGGCATCAGGACACTTAAACTCTTTGCAAAGAGAGGGGAAAAAGACATTATGAAACTTCAAAAAACTTCAGGTTGTGAAACAGGACAAACTTGCTGACTGTAGAGAAAGTGCTTCGATTACCACATCAGCAACTATCAGCAGCTCCTCTGCAGTGGTGCTTTGAGTCCTAGCAAATGTGCAGTGGCACCTGGGGAAAAGATCAGATAATGATGTTATGGAGCTCTGAATTGACGGGGAGGGCTTGAAACCTGCTATTTATAGTCACTGTTACTACCTGTCGTACTGTGTTTTAGGGTGGTACATTAATATGAGGAGGACCATTTTGAGGGAGTTCTAGTTGGCTGTTGTAACATAAATATCAATAAAATAGCTGTGAGATATAATCTATTCCTCTCAGCTCTATTTTTATTAGTCTTATAGCCTGGGCTGCCTTTCTGTGCTCCTTACAGTCAAGCCTCCCTCAAAACAATGATAATTATTATGTTGTAATAATATGTCACAGTCTAAAAGCCAGCTTTACCTCCTGACTCTTTCTGCAGCTGATGCGTAGTCAGAGATTTCAGAAGGAATTTCAAGCTCTGATGACTAATGCCATGACTCCCCTTCTTCCTCTGAATCAGGAAAAAGCTCCATTGTGGTTTTGCCTGGATCCTGGAGAGAAATTTTCTTCTCTCTCTATTTTTTATCTTTTTCTTCTTTTTCTTTTTTTTTTCTTTTTTTCTTTGAATGCTGTGTTATATATGAGGGTTGAAGAATTTGGAAAAGGAGTTTATTTTCAAATTTGGCTCTGTTTAGGAAACTATTACCTTATTATGCATGGGTTTGCCTAATGTGGGTTTCTTATAGCAGCAGTGTTCTCTCTGTCATTGAAAATCTATTAGTGCACACACAGTATTAATAAAAAGCATTTGAAAGTGCAATTCACTTATGTATTTAAGTATGAGTCATTGATTAAGCTTAATTACAGACAATATGATGGAGAAAATCAATCTCTGAACTACCAAAATATGTGATCTTCAATAGCTGAGGGTTAAGCTACTTTGGAATTTTCCAAAGAGATCTTCTATTAGAAAACAACAAATCCAAACCCTTTAGTTTTGCTAGAAATTTAATCTCGGGCTCAAAGGAGGAGAAGACAGGGGAAAAAAGGAGGCACAGAAACTGCTAGATCAGTGCTTAAGAGGCTTGTATAATCTGTGAGAGGCCAAAATCCTATCCCACCTGGCCTGGTCTGGTGTTAACTATACTCTGCTTTTACACAGCTGACAAGTGTCAGCTACTGGACTGGGATTTTGCTTGTTCTCTGTTGAAAAGGTTAAGAAGTTCCTTAAGTGGAAAGGGAGCTCTTTGAACCTTGAAAACAACAGAAGTTTCTTAAATCAGCACTGCTATTGCTTCTTACATGGACTCATCTCAGGTTTTTTGTGTGTGCCTTTTTTTTTTTTTTTTTTTTTTAAATGAACCTCTACCTTAATGAGAAAATGTAAACTATGTAAGTGTCCATAGTAACAACATCCTTCCCATGAGAAACAGAAACCAAGGCAGCAATGTGCATGAGCTCTATTTTGCCTTATTCATTGACCATTCATAGAATCATAGAATGGTTTGGGTTGGAAGGGACCTTAAAGATCATATAGTTCCAACCCCCCTGCCATAAGCAGGGACACCTTCCACTAGACCCCAGGTTGCTCAAAGCCTCATCCAACCTGGCCTTAAACACTTCCAGGGATGGGGCATCTACAGCTTCTCTGGGCAACCTGTTCCAGTGTCTCACTACCATCACAGGAAAGAATTTCTTCCTAATATCTAATCTAAACCTCCCCTCTTCCAGTTTAAAGCCATTACCTCTTGTTTTATCATTACCTGCCTTTGTAAAAAGTCCCTCCTCAACCTTCCTGCAGGCTCCTTCAGGTACTGGAAGGCTGCTGAAAGGTCTCCCTGGAGCCTTCTTTTCTTCAGGCTGAACAGCCCCAACTCTCTCAGCCTGTCCTCATAGGAGAGGTGCTCCAGCCCTCAGATCATCCTCGTGGCCTCCTCTGGACTCGCTCCAGTAGGTCCATGTCTCTCTTGTGCTGGGGGCTCCAGAACTGGACACAGCACTCCAGGTGGGGCCTTACGAGAGCGGAGTAGAGGGGGAGAATCACCTCCCTCGACCTGCTGGACACGCTTCTCTTGGTGCAGCCCAGGATACGTCTTGATTATTTCTCTTTTGAAGCTCACGTATAATGGTGCAGGGACATAATCAGAGCATGGAAGTGTCTATTTAACTACCGTTCCTTTAGTAAACTATGCAAGCTGTTCTACTAACATTTTTCTACCATAATATAGAGTGAGATTTTTGGGGGACAAACACTCATTCAGTGTACAGTGTTCTTGATAATTCAAACCTGTTTTCTCTTGAAAATATTCTGTTTGGGAAAAAGAATAAAAGCAACAGGCTGTGGTAAGAGTAACCAGACAGATAAATGGCAAAAGGGTGTGAACGCATACCTAGCAATGTTAGCCATCATTAGTTAGCAGAGATAAGTTCAGGACAGTGTAGGGCCTGTAGGAGGTTATCTCCGAAGGACTGACCTCATTTTCATGAAGATAATCTCCCTAGGCTTTTCACCTAGTCAGTAGAGAGAGAGAAACTTTTTTGGGAGATATCTCAGAGCAGGGATTTTTTAGAGGAAAGTGCCTCTCTGAATAAAGTAGAAAAACTACCAAGATTGGTCTAAAATGGCCACTTGGGAATGCCTTTCTGAAATTAACCCCCTGAGTCTAACCCTTCGAAGTCATTACCATTGTACTATTTCTAAAAAATTCTTATAGCTATTTTATGGAGTTCAAAAGGTTTGTCATAACACTTGATGAAAATACAAGTAACTAAAGTATCATTATTTTTTCCTTTTGCTAGCTATTTGACAAATATGCTTTAGACTATACTGTATGTGGATGCAGACTTGTTCTTAAAATGTATGATGTTATGACCTACTACATGCACCTGCCAACAGGTGATCCATGGGACCACAACTTTGCTGCCTCAATGGGATAAATGTGTAGACCTTGTTGAAGACGCACTGCCTTACGTTGTGGGTAAGATGTTTGTGAGTGCCCATTTTCAAGAAGACAAGAAAGAGATGGTAAGTTCTCTGAGATCTCTGTCTAGAAACTTTGAATTAGCAGCTTCCTCCTCACAAATTGCCTCTGATGGACTGAATTTTGAAAAGAGACAAAATTCTTAAAAATGCTTTAAATAAATAAATAAATAAAGATAAGAAGAAAATGGAACAAATTTGAAGAAATGCTACCTTTCTGTCCATCTGGGCACTGCCAATTTCTTCCTTATGCAGTCCTTCAGACAAATATGTAGCCAGATCAAAACCAGACTGAACATCGTTAATCTGTGTAAGTAATGACAGCCAGGATGTGCAGGAACTGAGTAAGGGCTATCAATGAGAAATGGTTTAGTATAGCTAGTGTAACTCTTTATAGTAAAGTTTTTACTGACTAGTTAAAAGACTGGTCAAGACCTCCCTGCTTCAGAGATACCCCTTTAAAGCTGATTGAGCTACACCTGCATCCTAAGCAAGAAAAATGTCATTGATATCTGGCCCAAATTAAGGGAAGCTTAGAGCCACATAGTGAGAGCTTATATTTGAGATTTGAATCTTTTTTGCTCAAGAGTGAAGGAAAATATTCTTCCATGCTTCTGAGTCCACAGAATGGCTTTTGACTGTATGTTCATCCTCATTCTAGAACTTCAAACATAGCTACATTATCACTTCTCTTAATAACATGTTCAAATGATTAATTACCCTTCACAATAATTTATGACTTATTTTCAGTTCATATTTTTCTCATAAGGTTTTCCAATATCTGCTTTTCCAGCCATTGATTTTCTGACAACAATCAGTTTAAAATTAACTAATTTAGTCATTGAACTTAGCTCTTGGTGCAGGAGAAGCAAAACCATTTAGGAAACTTGTGAAATAGCATCTTGCGATGGGAGCAACAGCTCTGTGATAGTCCTGCACTGCCCTGGCTCGGTAGACTGAGTTTATCTGTTTGACTTTATCTAGTTTGACTGTTTTATCAGGGAAGGACTCCATTTTAGACAGATTAACACTCTGATTTGACTTGTCCAGATCTTTATGACATGTGTTTTCCCTCTCAGGTTTTGCATTTCTTTTGCTACTTGCCTCCAGCTGGAGTTTTTTCTCTGAGATTCAGCTCCTCAGTTCCCTGCATCTTGATCGATTTTGTAATGTGCTATTTGTCAGTTTAGTGCCAAAAATATTTCAGGGATACACAGTATGACCTCTGTGTAGCATAAGTGGGAAGGAAAGAACTGTAAGAAACGTACACTTTTTCATGTTTTTATATGTGAGGGAAAATTATGAGAAGCTGATAGAGTAGAGAATGGTTTTCTGTAGAAATTTGATCTAATTAAAATATTTCTTATCATGTACATTCCTTTCAGACCAAATCTTTGAAAAATTATCAAGTCTGAATTCATAGTAGCATCCATAGTAAGAAATATATATAAAATTTATAGTGTAGACCACAAGATCCAGACTTATAGTGAACTGCCCATGGAGATAAAATTAGATACAGGTGAAATCTGTTGCAATCCATTTAGAAGTGTGCTTTTCAAGTTAATAATTTGTGGTATTATCATTTTCATTTCACTGGTTTTCAGTTTTATTTCTCTTTCTTAAGCAGTAAAAAAGCACTTGAGAAAACCACTCTCACTTGTACCTCCCCCCACCCTCACCCCC